GCCAGACGTGGTGGTTCACACCTGCAATTCCAGCACTTTGGGAGGCTGAGGTGGGTGGCATTACATGAGGTTGGGCATTCAAGACCAGGCCTGACAACATTGGCAAACCTATGTTCTATACAAAATACAAAAATTAGCCAAGTTGGCATGTGGTTTGCGCCTGTTTATCCCAGCTATCAGGAGCTGAGCAGGGTAGAATCAGCTTGCAGCGCCTGGGAGGCGAGGTTGCCAGTGAGCTGAGAATGTGGTGGGCCACTGCACTCCAGCTGGGGCTACAGAGCAAGACTCCATCTCAAAAACAATAAACAAACCTTTAGGTGGTGCTGGCGGGTGGGAATGCAGGCGATAATCCGGGCTAACCTTAGTCTCCTGACTGGTTGTGAGGGTTAAGGGATTGGTGCATGTTGAGCACTTGGCACATATGAAGTGGCCTCAAGAATAGAGGCAGCTCCTGCAGCCTGGGTCAGTGGCCCACACTGTCAACCCACGTGTTGGGAGGCTGGGCAGTGTAAACATTATTGAGGCTAAGACGTTCGAGACCAGCCTGCGGGCAACTATAAGAGATCGGCCCGCGCCCGCGCGCCCTCTCAGTTATAAAAAATAATAACAAATAGCTGAATGTGGTAAGGTACATACTGTAGTTGCCAGCTACTCAGACGGGCTGAGGTGGTAGGATCAACTTGAGCCTCAGGTGGAGGCGTGCAGGTGAGCATCCACGCCACTGCCGGCACAGCTGGGTGACAGAGCAAAGGCCCTTTTTCTCTGAGAGTAAAAAAAAAAAGAGAGAGGCTGGGCCAGTCAGTCTCACGCCGTGTAATCCCAGCTACTTGGGGAGGCTTGAGGGCAGGGAGAATTACTTGAATGGAGGGTGGAAGTTGCCCCCCAGTGCAGGCCCAAGTTCCTCCATCACACTCGAGTCTGGGCAACAAGGCAACAAGACTCTGTCCTCAAATAAAAAAAAAAAATAGAGAGAGATGAAGGAGGTAGCTGTTTTCATGTTATGGATAAAGCAGGTGGGTGTCTGAAAAAAAAAAAAAATATGCACAGACACTGTCTTGGACTTGGATTGGACTTGGAAGGGTGATCTGTGTGTTTACTGAACTCCAGCAAGCTGAGCAACCTGTACCAGGGCGGGCTTTTCTGACTTGAGAAGCTGCCGTATCTATGAGGTCCATGTAGAGATATTAACGGTAGGATTGGGGGGCAGTGGGCTTTTCCCCTGCTGGAAGTAATCACTAGGTTGCCAGATACTGGGCAAAGAGGTTTGCCGAATTTCATTTCTCTCGCAATCCCATGAGGCAGGATGACTATTCTTCCCATTGTCAGAGGACGGGTAAAACAAGTACATGGAAGCAAGTCATGCAGCAGAGCTAGGATTGTGAACCGGAGCTGCCTGCCCATTCTCAGACTGCCAGTCCAAGCACTTGTGCTATTGCTCCATTGATGCTTTCGCCCATGTCTGCATTTAGCCTTCTGGCTCTGGTCAGTGACCCAGTTTGTTACAGCGGAAGAGCTGTCGAATCGAGTTGTTCGCGTGTGCGGACACAAGTGAAGGGGATAGCAGAAGGTGAAGAGGAGATCGGTGTGGAATGGATGAAGAAGGTGGTGCACAGTGTATTTGACACTGCAGCTACACCTTCCCTTTGCAGGTAGAGGACGAGCGTTGTAGCATTGCTGCGCCCTAGGCTCATCACTGGTCACGTTGCGCAGCGGGGCGCGCCCGTGCTCCGCCTCCCCGCCCTAGGAATCTTGTAGAGTGCGCCGTCGACTTCCGGCCCGCGCGCGAGCAAGAACGGTGTGGCCCGATGTGTTTTGAAAAGTTGTGGTGAAAGTCTTCAGCTGAGGAAACGCGCCGTGAAATTGCCAAACCGGGAGGTGCAGGAGGTGATCCCTTGGGTGTTAGCTTATCAGTGTGCGCCGCGCGTTCGCGGCTGCGTAAGAAATAGCGCGCATGTGTCGTGGTGTGTGACATGAAACGCAGGATTTTGATTGTCAGTCGCAACATCTTGATGTGTATGCAGGTTTTTTAGAGGCACAAGCCCAGCCAAGCAGCAAAGTCTGCCTAGATTATAGAGGACAGAACTTTTCTACGAAGAGTACAGCCGCCGCTGTTCGGTAGATCTGGTGTGCGCGTGTTTATCGCACAAAGACCACGTCCAGGAGAGTGCGCTTGGTAAGTTTTTTCCAGCCAAGAAAAGGAGAGTGTAAAAGACAAAAAGACGAAGGGGCATGCCAGGTCACTGGAGAAGGCGTGTGATTTCTAAATTGCAGAGGGAAATGAAAACAGAATGCCAAAAAGGAGAAATTAAAGTAGGGTTGAGGGAGGCCCCAAAAAACAGAGAAGGGAGGGGGCAGGGGCGAAGGGCAAGTTTGTGGCCTGGGGAGTAAAAATGCTTGCAAAACCTATTAAGCCAAGTTGCCTTTATTTGTTTCTACAGCCGGTCATTAAATCTGGTTTGCTCTGGTGGATGCCTGTGCTTTCATAAAGTCCAGGGAAAATCTGAACGCGACCAGTGAGCTGCTCGCCTACCTCGCCATACTCAGGTCTCTTGAGTTTCATTTAATTGAGGATTTTATGTGTAAAAAAAAAAAAAAAAAAATACACGAAAAGGCTGCTTTGAACTGCGGTGGTAATAGACTCCTCACCCCGATCAAATGCTCCTTACTATCCTCAGCTCAGCAGGGCTGCTCCGTCCGCTTTGATATTAGCCCTCGGATATTCCAGTGCACAGACCCTGAGTTTCTAGAAGCTTAAGAATAAGGTGTAGAGGTTCGCTGCAGCAAGCTGGATTATCTTATATTAAGTGTTCTCGTTTTCAAAGGCGTTTGCATTTCTTAGCCTTCGCTTTCCTCAGGGGAACTCTTGCTTGTTGATGCAACTTTTCAACACAGAGGGCAAGAGGCCGCACGCACGCGGGTTGATGTCACGCGCCCACCGTAGGAGAGGCGAGCGGGTGTGGCAGTGGCGTGGGTCACGTCGGTAAGTTGCCTGGGGGAGATTGCAGCAAGAAAGAGCAGAAATCTAGACGCCCGTGGGGGCTGTATTTCGGCGCCTCCAAGATATTTTACCTGCTGGTGTTTGGGTGGCTGGGCTGAGTGGAGGAAAGGGAGGCACATGGCATGCTTGTCTTCCGATGGCACCGGATTTTGTTGTGTCTGCTCAGTCGCTCGGTTATACGCATAGGGACGTTGAGAGGCCAGAACTGACGCTCTGGTTCTTGCTGCTGGCGCTCTGTTCGCGCTATGGACAATGGTGGATTCTTGGGATTTTGCAACCACATTTAATTTGATTTGAGGCTCAGCGAATGGAACTTAGGAGAAAAGTGGCATCTTTACA